TAATTTTTTTCAACGTTTTTATTTATTTTTGGGACAGAGAGAGACAGAGTATGAACAGGGGAGGGGCAGAGAGAGAGGGAGACACAGAATCGGAAACAGGCTCCAGGCTCTGAGCCATCAGCCCAGAGCCTGACGCGGGGCTCGAACTCCCGGACCGCGAGATCGTGACCTGGCTGAAGTCGGACGCTTAACCGACTGCGCCACCCAGGCGCCCCAATTTTTTAAATGTTTCATTTATTTTTGAGAAAGAGACAGAGTACGAGTGGGGGAGGGACAGAGAGAGAAAGAGAGAGACACAGAATCCAAAGCAGGCTCCAGGCTCTGAGCTGTCGGCACGGAGCCCGACGTGGGGGCTCGAACTTGTGAACTGTGAGATCATGACCTGAGCTGAAGCCAGACGCTTAACTGACTGAACCACCCAGGTGCCCAATGAACTTCTTTAAATCAAAGAGCCATCGCTCTGGATTATCAACAGTAGCCAAACTATGGAAGGAGTCCAAATGTCCATTGATGGATGAAGAGAAGAGAGGGAAACAAACCACAAGAGACTCTTAGCTGTAGAGAACAAATCACGAGTTGACAGAGGGAGGTGGGTGGGAGATGGGCCAGATGGGTGATGGGTACTAATGAGGGCATTTGTGCTGAGCACTGGGTGTTTTATGTAAGGGATGAATCACTGAATTTCTACTCCTGAAATCAATATCGCACTCTATGCTAGCTAAAATTTAAATTAAACAAACAAACAAACAAACAAACTGAGCCTGGATGGCTCAGTCGGTTAAGTGTCTGATTCTTGACTTCGGCTCAGGCCATGATCTCACAGTTCGTGAGTTCGAGCCCTCATCTGGCTCTATGCTGTCACTGTGGAGTCGCTTCGGATCCTCTGTCACCTGGCTCTCTGCCCCTCTCCCCCTGGCGCTCTCTCTCTCTCTCTCTCTCAAAAATAAATAAACATTAAAAACATAGTCTGGGTGACAATGAGGAGCTGGAGGGCAGGGGTCAAAGGTGGAGCGATGTTCCCTCTGCCTACAATCTCAGGACCGGGATGAAGCTTGAGAAGTTAGCTCAGAAGACCGGCCTTCCCGACCCCGAGGCTCGCTTGAGACTCACCCAGCCATACCCACTCTGGGTCTTCACTGTCCTGGGACGGGTCTCTCTCTCCGCTGGATGGCGAACCCCCTGAGGGCAGAGCCTGGGCAGTCTCAGTCACCACTGTGTCCCCAGCATCACCCACCACAGTGTGACAGATGGATGACCCAGTGAATGAACACATCCTGTGCGTAGAGAAGTCACCGCATCGGTTTAAAAGAAAATACTAAATATTGCGCATCAGGTTTCTACTCCGGACCAGACTTGCGCTAACTGCATTGTTCTTATCAGTGGTTGTGATTAGTAGTAATGTCCCCAACCAAAACAGTGGCTCAAACAAGCCATGGGGTTACTTTGCTCCAGACCCTCCGAGCCTCCAGTCGGGCTCCTGCATCCATCCTCCCCTCCCGGCTTACTCCTTCCTTTTCGAACTCTTCCTGCTTTTCGCTTCCCCATCCTCCTTCTGCTCCCCTCCGTACCTTCTTCCCCCTTCCAGACTTCCCTCCTGGCAGTCCTCCCTCCAGGTTTCCCACCCCTGTTGCTCCTTCTTCCCAAAGTCCTCCAGCTTCCAGCCCCCTCGCCGCCACCTCTCCCATCCCTCCCCCACCCCACCCGCTTTTAGGAAATATCCTCTTTCCGGGTGAACTCCAGCTCCGTGAACAACAGACTCATGATACGAGAGTGCGGTGTGGCCAGAGACTCAGGCCATGGGGCCGGAGATGAGTTCGTTTTAATTGCTGGGGAGTTCACGTTGCAGATAACTACACCCCTCCACGGACACCCGCCGTGCTCCTCCCCCGGGGCGGGGCGTGCGCCATCCGGTTTGGGCAGGAAGCCGCTTCTCCTTAGATGGAACAGTTCCATGAGATGGTGCGGGAGGGCAGCTCTCCGGGGACGGGAGGACAGCATCAGGGGGCAGCCAGGGCGGGGGGCACGGGGCCTCAGAGGACGCTGATGCGCTCGGCCAGCCCCTGCATCTCGTGGTCCTGCGGCGGGTGGGCCCCACCGAAGTCCCCATCGGCGGGCAGGCCGGGCCCGGGCAGCGGGTGCTCGGCCACGAACTGCTCCCAGCGCGCGTCGTCACTCTCGTGCGTGATGTACCGCTCGCCCATCTTCCCCTCCAGCTCTCGGAGGTCCAGCCACGTCTGGTACTCCTGGGCCCCGGAGACCAAAGGTTAGCAGGCACAGAGCACACAGCGCCCGCACCTTATCCACCCCGCGGGGGACGGGCCGGGTACCAGGGAAGGTGAAGCCACGCCCTTCACAACCCGCCCAGCCAATAGGAATTCAGCTCCACCTCCTTCTACAGCCCAGCCAATGGGAACCTCAGCCACGTTCGCGAGCCACGGAAAATGTACCTGCATCCTTCACCACCCGCACAGCCAATAAGCCATCTGGTTCCTCCCCTTACCCCAACCCAGCCAATAGGACCTCCCTCCCCCTTCGCTCTCAGCCCCGCCCCCTGCATCACCTGTAACCAGGGGTGACTGAGAGATTTGTCCACGCTGTAGCGCTTGCGCATCTTCACCTGCAGCAGGTTGTTGATGAGGTCAATGGCTGCACGGGAAGGAGACAGTTCAAGTCCTGCGCGCTGAGGGGCCGCCCCTCCCCTCCAACAGGCCACTCCAGCCTGCGTGCCTACCATCCGGGGCCTTCCCTCTGCGTGGCCCCGGTGGCTTTGAAGCCTCACCTGCACCACTCGCTCACCCACCCGTTTCCTCATTAAGTTACCATTTTGCCCCCCCTCCTCCTCCGACGTTGCACACACACTAGCTCCTACATCTCTTCACCAAGACTCTCCCTCAGTTTCCCCATTTCTAGGTCACCTTCATAAGCTTTGTCATACAGAGGTGCATACAGGAACACCTGTACTACTTACTCCTCGCTTAATATTTTTCTTTAAGCATATACAGTGGCATGAAATCTGGCCATTTGCAACAACTGGGTGGAAGAGTGTATTACGCTAAGTGAAATAAGTCGGAGAAAGATAAATATCATATGATTTCACTCACATGTGGAATTTAAGAAGCAAAACAGATGAACATAGGGGAAGGGAAGGAAAAACAAGATAAAAACACAGAGGGAGGGGGGCGCCTGGATGGCTCCGTCGGTTAAGCATCCGGCTTTGGCTCAGGTCGTATCTCCCGGCTTGTGAGTTCGAGCCCCGCGTCGGGCTCTGGGCTGATGGCTCAGAGCCTGAAGCCTGCTTCCGATTCTGTGTCTCCCTCTCTCTGCCCTTCCCCCACTTGCACTCTGTCTCTCTTTCTCAAATAAAACATTAAAAAGAGAGAGAGAGAGAGAGAGAGAGAGAG